CATCCTTTGTAAATATCTCTTTACCAAATTTTCCTCAGAATGCCTGAATTTGAGTGGTATCTCCATTGCCTGCCAGGATCCTTCCTGACATTACCTTCCCGAATGAATATTGTTGAAGGAGTCTATTCTCTATACAAAGAAGCCCAATTTCTCACTATGAATAAAAAGAAATAACCATCATTTTCAATAGAAAATAATGCAGGGTATACATCTGGTGTCACAGCTGTGTTTGGACCACAGAGCCTAGAAAGATGTAGTCATAGAAGTATACTCTTTTCTCTCTATTTTTGGTAACAGCATCCTGATTTTCCCTTGAGAAACCATCCTCTCTTCTCCTTATGGTCTCTATCTTTATGATAGGACCAACCCTAATCTCCAGGGACAGGTGTGTGTCTCCACCCTGGCTTATGAAAGAGCTATACACTCCTAACCACAGTGATCAGTGTAGGAGATCAGTCAGGATGCCAGGAAAAATTATAAGAAAGACTCAAACCTTCTTGGAAGGCTGAATGGTTTTACAAAAGCCTCAGAAGAGAATTATGGCTGAAGGCAGCCTAATCCTCTTAACTTGAGCTAATAGCAAAGAGCAGATAACAAGGGAATGTAAAGGAGTTTATCTAAATAGCTTGTTTACTCATGTTGTCCTAAGACCAAACTTTAATCATCCATATGCAGGACTGCTCTCTACATGGGGGGGTCGACAATGTCAATTATCCACTAATGATGTTTTCTCAAGACTTCTGTCATTAAATCTATTCTAAAATAAATATGAGCCTCTCCAATATATGGGGGCTTCATGGCTGGACTCTCTCTTAGGGATCTGTGAGCCATGGAGTCCCCTGGCCATGCTCACACAGGCAAAACATCTATGTCTACATACTTCTGTCATTGATTGCTCAGGCAGAGTCTGCCATTCAGACTCAGCAGCCAGTTTAAAGATGGGAAAGAACAAGGGCAGGGGAACCTTGACTTTTTCCAGAGGTATCAAGAAAGAGACTCTCTTCCCACTGGATTTTCTAATCTATGGAACCTAGGCCTGGAGATGCTGTTAACCATCATTGACATCATGTAAAAGCCAACATAAAATATCAAAAGGTGGAACTGAGAGATGGTGAAAATGTCCTCCTGATCACAAAGGTTGAGCATTTATATTTGGCCATACCTGGAAGTGTCTCTGCACTTTTCTCCCCTGGACCAATAATCTTTTTTTCTCTTAGGGTGATCTGTTTTCACCTTTATCCAGAAAAGTCTGCAGTAAAGAGAAAAATCATGAACTAGGAGACTTGATACTCATTCCAGTCTCTGTTATTTACAAGTTGTGTGACCTTTGGCAAATTATTTTGCCTCTCTGGGCTTAGATCTCTCCCCTATAAAATAAGGATTTTGTGCTGGATGTTCTTCAAATGCCTTTGTTGAGCTGAACATGGAGCCAGATCAACAGTAACCAATCTTCCAGGTCAGCTAGAACTCAAAGAAAAGTTATGCCTCCTAGTGAGCTAATTCTCTGTTCCTAGCATGTTGACCTCAGCATTGCTGTCCATCCAATAAAGGACAGACATTGTTACAAATAACTACCCTATCCAGCCCTGGTCAGCCCTACTGTTAACCCCCAGGAGAGCTTATCCCATTTTCCCACTTCAATCCACTTAACCAAATACACTATGTAATTTTGATGATACGTCTCTTAAAATTTAATCATCACACCAAATGGTCAAATAAATATTCAATGTCTACCAGAAGTAAAACGTGGTGCTAGGTATTGTGATTATTCGCATTCCATCTTTATGTTGATCCTCCTTGGAAGGGACTCAAAAAAACCCTTCCAAACCCTCTAAGTTTCTACCATATAATGCCTTTTTTCATGCACTGTGGCTTTTTGATACTTTCCTCTGACATGCATTCGATGAAAATTTATCTGATGAAATTTATTTTCATCAAAGGATGCCAGAAAAACAAATGAGTTTTAAAGTAAAGATGAAGGAAAATTTTGAAAAGTACTTAATTTCCTCATTATTCATCCATTCATTGTTCCACTAGCCAATGGCCAAGGCATTGTTTGTGGGCTGTTCACAGTAGCTCTATTTTCTGCTATTGTCTTTTAGTCAATGAAAATTTAGCTAATAGCAGAATCCTGCATGATTTGCCAAGCATTTGTTGAGTTGAAAGGTCACATATTTGCACGTGACATTTAGATGTGGGAAAGAAACTATCGTCATTGTGCCCTGAAAACCTCATTCCCACCATTGGTGGGGAAAAAAACCCTAAATTAGTGCATAGAAGATATTTCATTGTCTGCTGGCTTAAATAGTCTTTTAAAGACTTGTTTAATATCTTCTGGACAGAGACTCAATCAAGTTTGAGGTCCACGCCCCTTTTAGTACTGTTTCTGGTCTTGGAGATTCACTTGCTAGTTGTCACTTTCCACAAGAGGCATCTTTCACAAGATGTAGTCTTTCATGAGATGGCAACTGGATGGAGAGGAAAGCTTACCTGTCCTCTTTGCTGTGAGGATGTCCACCTGCTGCTCCTCATACTGTCTTCTGGTCCCCACCAGCCTTTGAGAAAGATGTCCTGTCTATCCGTTAGGCAACCTCCTGACAGAAGCTGCTGAGGCCATAGCCAGGGTAATTGGTGATCTGGTGGCCTGCTGCGGGTCTACTGTGCCCCCTCCTGTTATACTTCTTTACCTTGGTACTTGCTAGAGCAGCAACTCCCCATGGTCTCAGCTGCCTCCTCCATCTGCCCTGGGCCTTGGTTGTCCACCCAGCAGCCTCTGCCATGAGGTCAAGTTTTCCTCCCATAGGGATCCATGGGAGGCCCACTGTCCCTCATTTCTCTTCCTTACTCTTCTTACTCTGGGAGCAAGTGACAATGTTTGGTTATCTTCCCTATCCTACTGGAGAGGACCTATTCCCAGTGATCTTTTCTTCTTAAGTATCACCACCATGGTATACTAAATGTCAATATTTGTTCTGTTGCAATTTTACTGATGCAGGGTTCCCTAAAAGGTGATCTCCTCCCTGAACCCTGAACAAAGCATGAGTCCTCTTTGCCTCTCTGCTTCTGGGTTTCCTTCCTGATCTCTCTTGATATGAATCCAAGAATGTGTCTTATCTCTTTTTCTTGTTTTCTGTACCTCATGGCTTCTTCATAGAATTGGAAGGTATATCTACGTCATCTTTCTGTTGTTAAAAGAAAAGCTTTAGCAGAATTAAATTTAAGAGTTTAATTGAGCAGAGAGTAATTTGCAAATTGAGCAGCCTCCCAAGGCAGAGTAGGCTCAGAGACTTCAGAGCAGCCACATGGTGGAAGATTTATGGATAGAAAAAAGAAAGTGACATAGAGAAAAAGGATGTGAGGTGCAGAAACAACCAGATTGGTTGCTACTTGATGTCTGCATCATTTGAACACACTTTGAACAGTTGGTTACCTTTGATTGGCCAAGACTCAGTGATGGCACAAGAGTAGATTACAGTCTGTGTACAACTCCATTTATGTTATAGTTCATGATATACACAGAAACCTTTAGGCTGAACTTAAAATATGTAAGGAGGCAGCTTTAAGCTAAACTTGATGTATCACTGTCCAGTAGGGCATTCACCAAGTAATATCTTCCTTCATGCATTGTGGTTTTTTGATACTTTCCTGCTTTTTCCTGGGCAATAAATTGGGCTTTAATGATGGAAAGCCTTTGGGAGAACAATCACTTATATGGGAATGGAAAATGTAACAATTTAGTATCTTCTAAATAGGATTCCTGTTACATCTAGAATATGTAAAACTCTGCTAGTTTTTAGGAAGGGAGCTGAGGATAGGCTAAGAGGGGATCAAGATGTGAATTAAACATGATTTCTGTTCTTAAATAGCTTTTAACTTGAGGGAAGAGATGGACATGAATACCATTGGCCAAGGCATGGCATAGGAACCAAATGTGGCCTGTACCACTGGGTTATGAGATCAGACAGGGGTAAAGATTACATAGATCCCTTAAAAAGCTGGCTGCCCCAGCACTTTGGGAGGCTGAAATGGGTGGATCACCTGAGGTCAGGAGTTTGAGACCAGCCTGGCCAACATGGTGAAACTATGTCTCTACTAAGACTACCAAAAATTAGCTAGGTGTAGCGGCAGGTGCCTGTAATCCCAGCTACTCAGGAGGCTGAGACAGGAGAATTGCTTGAACCCAGGAGGTGGAGGTTGCAATGAGCCAAGATCATGCCATTGCATTCCAGCCTGGGCAACAAGAGCGAAACTCCCTCTAAAACCAAACAAACAAACAAACAAACAAACAAACAGAAAACAACTGTCTGCTTTCAGTTTTTCAGTTTGCTTCTCAATTCTGCAGGTTAGAGACCACAGCCAGAAACCTGATTAGCTGTCATCTTTGAGCTTAGACCTTGGCTTGAGGATTTCTGTCTCAGCAAACATCAGGTTGGGACTGAACATGGGGGTGGGAGAGATCCATCTCTTCACTGGGTAGGACTGTACTTTTTTCTGGTAGATGGCAATTAATAGGAGGTGCCCAGAAAGAGCTGCACTCTATTTGAGAGCAGTAGTTCTCAAAGTGTGTCCCACCCACATAGGTGTTATCAGGGAACTTGTCGAAACACAAATTCTCAGGCCCCACCCCAGGCCTGCTGAATCAGAATCTCTGGGGATGAGGCCCAGCACTGTTTTAACCAGCTCTCCAGGTGATTCTCATCCACACTAAAGTTTGAGAACCTCTTCTCTAGACTCTAAAATTATGTAACTTCACACTGGCACCCAGGGCCCAGCAGCACTGGCATTACCTGGGAATTTTTTAGAAATGTAGAATCTCAGGCCTCACTTCAGATGTATTGAATAAGAATCTTTTAAACTAAAATTCCTAGTTAATTCTTATAAACACTAAAGTTTGAGAAGCATTGCACTAGGTGATTAGACCTATATTCAACCTGGATTATAGATCATAGGTGGACAGTGTCATTTTTTTTTAAAGGTATGTTTTCTTCTGTCTGTTCCAGGGAGCCCCCCTCCTGTCAAAGCTGGGACATCTGAGAGACAGTGGTCACACTACAGCTCAACTGCACGCACACCAAAAAAAGTAGCTTATTATCTTTTACTGTTTATTTTTCTTTCTGGTTTACCAACCTACTGGGTATCAGAGTGCAAAAAATTATTTTACTTGCAAATTAATTAAATCACCACCTTTTCTTGCTTAAACTGTCTTTTTGGGTTAATTCAGCTACTTTAGGATAAACGTTCAGTCTTTCAGATATATTCCACTTACCCTAGCTCCTCCCATGATGGTTCTGGGGTGGAAGAGGCTTACATGACCTCGCAGTAGCAGGGCAGAGGACAGGGTTACGCTGCTCACGGGGCATTCTGTACAAATTAGATGTGTCTTCCTTATGATACCTTCCTTCCAGGTGTTGGAAAGTTGTCATGCTGATTTTATTAGAACAAGCACCTTGTTGCCATATGCTTTAAAATTGATATAACAAATGTGCAAATTTTCACTATCTGCTAAATGAATTGGTGCTTTCTTGTGCAATACTCAACCTGCACAACTGTATGCCAGTCTCTGTTTTTGTACCACAGTAAGGTGCATGCATAAGGCTGAATATGGGGTTTTCCCAGAGGCTTGTAGCTATCTTCAAGATAGGCAGACTATTGGCATTGACTATCCTGGCCACTCTGGAGATTCTATTGCTCTCAGACCATGAGGATCAACATTTGTCCATGACTTCCTTGCCTCCTCCCCTTAGGCCACTAGGGTCAGAAGCCCAGGCTTTTTCATTTCCCTGAAAAATAGAAGCTTTGTTTACATCACGACTGGTTCTCATTACCCCCTGACATACAGAAAACTCCAAGTTTAAGTCAGCCAAGCCTGCTTCTTGATGTGAGATGGGAGCTTAAGGGATTTAAATCATTATTTTACTTTCCCATAATGTCTGGCTTTTGAGACTCCACTCACTAGTGCCTCACAACCAACGCTGACTTGCTTTTTCTAGCTAAAATTTACCCCTTTCCTGAGGCATGAAACACACTGTTTCAGAGTGTAGGTCCCCCAGGGCAGCAGTGTTTTCTGGATTTGAAAATTTAACTGAAGGCTGGGCGTGGTGGCTCAAGCCTGTAATCCCAGCACTTTGGGAGGCCGAGGCGGGTGAATCACGAGGTCAAGAGATTGAGACCATCCTGGTCAACATGGTGAAACCCCGTCTCTACTAAAAATAAAAAAAAAATTAGCTGGGCATGGTGGCATGTGCCTGTAATCCCAGCTACTCGGGAGGCTAAGGCAGGAGAATTGCCTGAACCCAGGAGGCGGAGGTTGCAGTGAGTCGAGATCGCACCATTGTACTCCAGCCTGGGTAACAAGAGCAAAACTCCGTCTCAAAAAAAAAAAAAGAAAATTTAACTGAAAAGCTCTCACCAACATTGTAATATTTTTACCTTTCTCTTGTGGGACTTCGTTGCAGGCAACAAGAAGAAGCCAAAAACCACCAATATTTTGAACTTTTCCTAACACTTTCTTGGTTTCAGACTTTTGGTGGACATTATCTGAGTCTCAGGATACAGCAGGCAGTAGTTTAAACAGCAATTTTGCTGCCACTTAACATGGGCTGCTAACAAGCTAGTTCTATCTTCATTGCCCTCTCCACTATAGCTCTTCATCTCTGCCTATTCAACAGTTTCGAGTCTATAACATCACCCTCACTTCCACATTCCAAATTCCATTGGGATCCTTTAGGATTCAAGGAACAAAAATACCATATTTATACTAAAATAATAAGGAAGCATATTTGGTTCATGTAACTGCAATAGTCGAGACTCTCAGCATCTTTAGGATGCAGCTCCAGTGTTGTGTGATTCCCTGAGTTCTTCTTGCTTGCATGCATTGGCTATTTTATGTTAACAAAGTGGCCACAGAGATTCCAGGCATCTCATTCACATACCACAACATCCAGATTAAAAGAAAGGGCCTTTGTCCCAGAATCTAAGCAAGTTCAGTCACATGCCCACCACTGAACCAATCATTGTGGTTTTGACTGACTTACTTAGGTACTACGTGCTCCATTCCTAAAGCCAAGAGCCACACAGGTCTGGAAGTCAGGCCTAAAAAGAGGCAGCTCTGAAGTATCAGCTGAAACATCATGAGATCTATCCATTGAGAATGGAGACTTTATTTCTCATAAAGGGTTACAGCCTGCAAGGTGGTCATTTTCACAGGCTGGGAAACATAGCCTCTGGTAGTAGCCAAAAGGCAGGCATTTCAAGGGAGAGGAGGATGAAGCCTCTGGTAGAAGCCAAAAGGCAGGCACTTCAAGGGAGGGAAGAATGAAACAAGGATTTATGCTGAACAGTTGGCCAAGTATACATATTTAACAGTTTATAAGAGTAGCTATGAATATTCATGAAGGGTGTCCTAATGCATGTGTACTGAATAAACATGCATGTTGCATGTTCACTTTGGGGTGGAGACAATGTATAAATACATAACAATTAGGCCTTGTATGTCAAAAGGTGAATCAGGGACACAGAGGCACTCAAGTGTGCAGCCTCTGCAAATCAGCCAGAACCAGCCCATGGTTGGTGGTCTATTATCAGGAGAAAGTTACCAAAATCAACCTCGTCTAATCAGAGCTGTAGAGACGGCTTGTGGAACAGAGGGGTCAATCAGGCTGCATCTGGCGACTGGTGAGCTGTAATTGTTTAACTATTTCTTATCTCAAGGCCAGTGATTGTTTAGCTGCTAGAGAAAAAGAAAAACCTTGTGGCAGGTAGAACGTAGATACGTGACTTAACTATGCTTGGTGTGGCCTTAGGTCTTGTTTATAATTTAGTATCTTATTGCCATAAAGAGTGCATTCTGTCAGTCTTATGATCTCCATTTTAACATTAATACTGGTCAATTGTGTCTAAACTGTAAAAGGGAGTGAGTACAATGAAGTGTGTACAAGATCCCATCCTATCACGGCTAGGAACTCAGTTTTTAAGGTTTCTCTGGGGTCCTCATGGCCAGAGGGGTCTTTTCAGATAGTTGGGGGGCTTAGAATTTTAGGATTTTATTTTTAGTTCTCAGGAGGATATACAACATTTTGAAGGAAGCTCTACCGGATGCACAAAAATCTGGGTCATTAACTGGGCTCCTACCAAGTCCTGCCCTGTGCCCCAAAAGATTCAGGGAGGCAGGAAAGGATTCAAGCAACCACTAAAAGATTAGGCAATATTACAATCAGTGGTGACTGTAAGTCAAAGATTGCTTTCATTTCCTTAACATCATGTAAACCTCCCCCATTCTGGCGTAAACCAAAAAGAAGACAATCCCATAATGCCTGAAATGGGATTTCCTACAGGCTGGTGGTGTGTGGGCGGGGAGGTGTAATTAAGCTGACAAAGAAAATGTAGCAATATTTTTTTGCAGCAGCTGATTCCATTCACAGAGATTCATGCGATTGTGTAATCTGCAACAAAAGTAAGTCAGTGGATGAGCAGCTTACTGACAATTTAGGGAAGGGATATTCTAAAAACATTTCTCATGATCAAGGAATGATAGCTAGAAATCAACATGACGATTCTTGTTACTACCAATTTAAGATGAATAAAATGTCATTTGCTAAGGTTTGTTCATACTGTTTTACTTCAGCAAATGTAAAACTATTGATAACGACTTTCCTAAAGGGAAACTCTTTCTTTTTAACCTTACTTTCCCATATAATCTTAAAGTTTTTCAACCAGGAATATAAATATTCCCAAGGGTTTTAGGAACTGAATTCTGAGGTTAGGACGAGCTAAAATTGCAGCATTATTAGTTTCATTAATTAACTTATTTATTTATCCAAAGACAATTATGATTACTAGTGAAAATAACCCTTAAAAAATTGTCCTTCCTGGGGATCAGAACAAGAATTGTCTTTAAATTTTCAATCAAGGTTTCCAAGTTAAATTATTTGTTAGTGTCAATAGTCTTGGAGGCAATACCAGCATTTTAGAGTAATTCTAAAAATAATTTTTTAGAAGGCTGTTTACCAGTTCAAGCAAGTATCTAAGAACTTACAGTGAAATGCTAAGAACTGAAGTTAATATTTTTAATAGAATTGGTAAATCAAGTCATTGCAGAGTAAGGTTTCTTGCTTGTGTTAGATTTGAAGTTCAATGAACACACATTTTCTAGATAATGAAATTTATATTTTTATTCTAGAGCTCACACTGAATGATAATATGGAGACCTCTCTAGCTCATCCCTCTATGGCTATGTACATGGTTTGATTTTTGAACACCTAACTGTAAAATTATTTGAGGAGTCACAACCTATTTTTTAAGTAAAAATCCACCAGTGCTTCATAAAGGGCTTCAGAAAATTATAGGCAGAAGTAAAGGAAATTACAGGACATTGTATTTTCAAGATATGCAAATGCTATTAAATTAGAACGTGAGGGCATTATTGTTCTTTGTGGGGAACAGATCTAAACAATTCAAAATATTAGACATAAGTTTTTAAGTGCTGAGATCTAACAACAAATTAGAAATTAAAATTATACATACGTTGAGTTACATCTTGAATTTCATAAATAATTTCATAACAGTTGACAAAACTGTAAACTGCATATAACTTAAATGTTCTGTTTCTATTTATATGAAAGTTGGCCAGACTTTTCTAACATGGGTAAAATAACTATACAAAGACATATTTTTATTGCTATATCCACATTCCTGCAAGAATTATACAACTTAGCCTACGTTCTTTTACATATGGGCAGAACAATTTTAACCAACTTTTAAAAGTTTAGAAAGACATATGGAACTTAAGCCAAATGAAATGATCTGATGATTTCTGAGCTTTCCAATAGAAGAGAAATGAAAAGTGCAAAGGATATGTCAGTATTTTCCCCTTTCATTTCCAGTTCCTGGGAGATACTTGTTTCTTGGTTGAGAACCTATCATCCTGGGCTCCTCCGCTCTTCTGGAGTGGCAACTAGTGGTGAACTATTAATACAAGATTCTGTACAGAACAAGATCATCACCTAGTGGTCACAAGCAGAACTCCTGCACGGCTTTTCCTGGCCAGCCAAAGTGATGTAGTAAGAACAGCATCTTTGGAAGAGAAAAGATGTACTTTAACTCCCACATCACTTCCCCCTCCCCCAGATTCGATCCATTTGTCATTGTCGGCTATGTCTTCAAACTAGGTGCATTCAGCTAATGTAAGTAATAACACAAAGGTAATCATGCTGTGCTCCATCTTTAAGCTGTTTGAAATGTCAAAGAATAAAAGAGAAGATAGTGGTCAAATATATATATATATATATTTACTTGAGTCAAATCAGGTTTTTATTCTATAGATGAGAACTAATTTTAAAAATGTCTACTTTTCTTTCTCTTTCTTCTTTCTCTCTTTATTCCCTCCCTCCCTCCCTTCCTTCCTTTCTTCCTTCCTTCTTCTTTCTCTTTCTTCCTTTCTCTCCACGGAGTCTAGCTCTGTTGCCCAGCTGGCTGGAGTGCAGTGGCACAATCTTGGCTCACTGCAACCGCTGACTCCCATGATCAAGTGATTCTCCCGCTTCAGCCTCCCCAGTAGCTGGGATTATAGGCATGTGCCACCATCCCTGGCTAAGTTTTGTATTTTTAGTAGAGATGGGGTTTCACCATGTTGGCCAGGTTAGTTCAAACTCCTGACCTCAGGTGATCTATCTGCCTCTGCCTTCCAAAATGCTGGGATTACTGGTGTTAGCCATCACTCCCAGCCCTACTTTCTTTTAAATTAAAATTCTATTATTTCTCCTCAAAGGTGTCTACCTAGTATATGTAAATAAAACTCAGTCAGAACTGGATTTCCAGTACAATAGTGTGAAAATGCAGTTAGAAATTTTCTTACTATAATTCCCTTGGCAGACCCTTCTGGTTGGGGAAGAAAGATGGAAGGAGGGACAATTGGGAGAGAGAATCTTAAAAATGCCCCACCTAGATGCTGATTTTGCAAACAAGAAAATAAAAACAATCTGATGGTGCATTATTTCAGAAGTTAAGGAGATGATGTGTGCTCTACTATTTGATATTAGGACACCTTAGAGGACATGCTGAAAGGGCCCAGGGATTTTTGTTTGTTATTGTGGGATGGGGCAAGTTGTTTCTAAATATCTATAAGCATATGTTCTTTCTGTGTGTCGACTGCAGGAAGTCTTCTGATTCCATGGCTTGGTCACCTGATGGACCAAGAAAAAGAAATCTATCACTGCAAAAGCTTCCTTGGTCAGGGTGTTACACTAGCCATTGTGTTTCCATAGCAACCTATAGATGGGTTTATCCAGGAAAGAACAGGGGCCCGTCCCATGCATGGCCAGCAGAATCATGACAGTGAGGACTGGACAAAAAGAAACATAGGGCAGGTTAAACATGTTGTAAAAAGAATGTGTGTTCTGTATCACAAATTCTATTCGAAAATCGGTGCTAATTAAAAAGAAATAACAAAGTCCACAGAAGCCTTTGGTAAGTAATTATTTATTTGATCATCACATTACAGAATAGAAATCTAATGTCTTGGGGGGGTCTTATTAGCTTAGCTTGAGGCAGAAAAAGGAATAAATCAGGCTGCATCTGCAGATTTGCTCAGGATGCTCTTGGGGAGATAATGTTACATAATTTGGGCCACATGAGTTGGTTCTTTTGGGTGTTTTTAAGTTTCTCTTCATCCATGAAGCCTCCCAGACTAGGTAGAGAAAATGGAAGTTTTAAAAACTTATAATCACTCCTTTCTCTGCCCTATCAGGTATTTATTTTCAGTTCATAAAATTAGAAAATAATATTCTGAATAAGAAAATAAAAAGTCAGTAATTTTTAAACAAGTGATATAATGGACGTCAAGCTGCATATTGATGCCCACAGTGTATGTCTCCTCAGAATCATGAACTCCTAAGAGCAGGCAGGCACTACTGAGAATGGTTCACAGAAAAAGAAAGATGAAAGTCTTTAAATCATATTAATGGATATATTTAACCACTTGGAGGAAGTAACTATAGCAGTGGTCTCCTATAGCCAGCTCCTGCCAGCTCACATTGCTGCATTCTCACCCCAGTGTCACTCCAGGGACTCTCTATCTCTTGGGTCCACTACTTTTAATAAACATGAGAATAACTAATAATCACAAACATTTAGACAAACGCACCACAGTTTACATAGTGTTTTCACATCTGCTTATTAAAAGCAGGTATTATCATTGTTCCTGTGTTTCGTAAAAATTGAATATTGGGAAAAAATCACAAAAATGTTTGGAGGTCAAACAGCTAGTAGGTGGGTGTTCTGATCTTCTAATCTAAGTCATCTGACAATAAATTCCAGATAATAACAGCTAGAAGGTCTTACCTTTTTCAGAAGTACTTTCAGTTTACTGGGGAACTCTAATAAAAAACGTGAAAAGTCTTTAAAAATTAAATAATTAACTCTCGAGTACTGAAATTTTAGATAATTTTAGATTACTGCCAGCGTTTTGTCTGAAATCATATGAGTATCCTCCCAACATGGGTTCTCCATGATAGGCTCTGGTGGGAAAGATAGGCTGCTAGAAGGCATGGGAAGCCTGGTTCATTTGGGAACTCATCTCACATCCTAAATCAGTGTTTTGCTGGTAATCATTAAGTAGAACATTCTTATTAAGGCTGTCACAAATATGTATTTGCTACATCTCTTTGTATAACCAGCTGAGGAAAAGTCCTAATAGATTCTCTATTACAGATAAGTTTAATTACTGTCTATATGATTTATTATATTTCCAGATCTATTAATTAAGGAAATAACTCTCCTTTTCCCCTTATCATGACCTAAACCTCAAGACTACACTGAACAATTTTCCATGCATATGTCTTTATCAAGCCTACAGAAAGAAATGATAGAAATGAGCAAAAAAGATCAGAAAGGGGGAGAAACAACTCTGGAGAGAAGTCAGCATTCCTGGGTTCCAGGCCTGGCTCTGCTTGCAACCAACTGTGTGATCTTGGACAATGAGTTAACCTCCATCTGAGTTTCCAGATGTGGGCAACACTGCTTTCGAATCTTTTACTTTTACAGATATTCAACTCACAGGCCACCAATAATTTATCAGTAATTAATCAATCAGTCCAAAATATTTTCATTTTAATGAATCTTTAGTCTTTAAACATATGTGTGTCTCAGCGTGCCCAGAGAAAATCTTAATTAATTCTCTAAAAAGGTTATGACCAGAAGAAGCAAAGAACAGAGAATGCTCATATGACCTCCAAGTAAGGTGGTTTTCTATTGTGTATGCACACCATCATGGAAGACTTTCATGGATAATGGAGTCAGTTTGTGCACTCACTGATTTTTCAGTGTGTGTCTAGAAGTTAATTACTGGAAAAAATAGGTCTTTCTTGTTATCAATATTTTGTTTTTTAATATGAGGACATCACATGTTATCAAGACATTTGCTATCTGATTATTTTAGGGGGAGTAGAAAGAACAGGCAAGAAAAGGAAAGGAAAGAAAAAAGGAGAAGGGTAGAAAACTCCTTAAAAATATTTTGATGAGGAAAATATTTACCAAGTGTCTACCTACAACTAGGCAATTTCCACAATGAGGATTCAAAAGAATATGTTATATCAAGACTCTCTTGCCCAGGCATGGTGGCTCGCGCCGATAATCCCAGCACTTTGGAAGGCTGAGGTGGGATGATCACTTGAGGTCGGGAGTTTGATCAAGATCAGCCTGGGCAACATGGTGAAACTCCGTTTCTAGTAAAAATACAAAAATTGGATTGGAGTGGTGGTGGGTGCTTGTAATCCCAGCTACTTAAGAGGCTGAGGCAAAAAAATTGCTTGAATCTGGGAGGTGGAGGCTGCAGTGAGCAAAGATCACACCACTGCACTCCTTCCTGGGCAACAAAGGGAGACTCTGACTCAAAAAAAAAAAAAAAAAAAAAAAAAAGAATAGAAACTCTCAAAATATTCTAAGATTTTAAGTCCAAAAAGAAGCCTCTGAATGTAAGATGTAATAGAACTATTTATTTGTCTATTCATTAAACTTCTGGTAATTTCAACTATGTTATACCCAGCTATAAAAGAAATCAAAACAAAACTCAGAGCCTACTTACTTTAACTTTATATAGAAATCATTGAGCTCAGTGACTAGGTTTCTGAACTAATGTAAACTTCATGAGGCTTCATGAGACCATTTCTTTCATAGTCCCAGTACTTAACTCAAAACCTAGTTTATGGAATGAGGTCAATAAATATTTGTTAATGAAGCCAAGTGATTAGATAAACAACATGTAGTATAACCATGCAACAGAATACTATGAGGCCATAAAAAGAAATGAAATGTTGATACATTCTATACACGGATAAAACTTGAAACCATTATACTAAGTGAAATAAGTCACAATAGGCCACATATTGCATATTTCTATTTATATGAAATGTTCAGAATATGATAATCCTTAGAGACTGAAAGTAAATTAATAAGTGGCATGGACAGGAGAACAGGGAGCGACTGCTAAGGATATAAGATTTCTTTGATGGGTGATGAAAATTTTCTGAGTGTAGTGATGGTTGCCCATCTCTGTGAATATACTAAACATTGCTGAGTTGTACATATTACACAGTTGAATTTTAAGTTATATAAATATTGTGTCAATAAAGCAGTTATTTTATACAAGATAAAAAAATAAAGATTTGTTAATGAATGAGGAGATTAGAAGCAGTATTCAGTAGCTGGGGTTGTTGGAGAGCAGTACACGAAATTAGTAGAACTGATGGCTGATACCCTGGAAACCAGAGAAAGAGTGAGAAAAATCATAAAACCCAGACACAAAGACCATTGCTTTGGAGAAACAGTCCTACATACCTTACTGACTCTAAGTGATTATAGCACAGATACAGAAACGATTTCCATGAACAATAACGACCCTGAGTCATTAGGAAACTTTTGAACTTTGTTTAATATACCTCATTTGATACAACTCAGGGAGGGAGCTGTACAATGCACTTTTAAGATATTTTATTGGACAGGATTAAAATATCACTCTGAGAACCCTTCGTCCCTTCTCATGCTAGATTTCCTTTTCAAAATGTGACTTGATCATATAATAATGTATACCTTAAACCTCCCTTTCTTCAAAAGATCCTTGGTTCTTCTATTCCAGGACCTCTAATTCCAAAGTATCTTTTGTAGACCCAGAAAGTATGCATTTTCTTTGTCTTTGTGATGTATTACACCTCCCAGTACAGAATTTTAATATATTCCACATATCGTATCGTCCTGTTTCAGTTACAAAGCAGTACAGAATTGGATCAGCAACACAATTTAAACTTGTTAATGCGACCGTGATTCTATACATCGTGTAAGTCTGCTTCCCAGACTTGCTGTGGTCATTGAAATTCACATCATGCTCTAAAATGCAGCGAATCAGCAACATCACATGAAAGGGAGTAAAGCATAAGACAAAAGTCACTGTGATGCTGACAAGTAGTTTTATGATTCTCTTCTTTTCCTTGTTTTCTGTGGCTTTATTGTGCCGCACAGCTTGGTAGACTTTCTGGTTGCAGATCAGGATGGTGACCAAAGGTATTGCATAGCCTGTACACGTCCTGAACAAGTTGAGGTTGATTTGCCATTTCTCTAAAGGGTATTTGTCATAGCATAAAGTAAAATTAGACTTTTTGGCATCGCAATATTCAACACTTGTTTCATCTTCCCACAACATGACAGCATTGAAGATGGTTTCCAATACCCAGATGGAAAGGCTGACCATGAGTGCAAATCTTCTTGTCCTTAGGAAAAAAAACTTCAAAGGGTAGACAACAGCCAAATACCGATCAACGGCAATGCAGGCGAGGAAGGCTGTGCTGCTGTAGAAGTTCATGTACGTGAAGAAAGCACTTCCTTTGCACAAGGCAGGAGAGAAAGTCCAGTTGTCTTGATTCCAAGTATAATCAATCCATAAAGGGAGAGTTAATGCATAGAGCAAATCTGACAGTGACAAACTGAAGAGGTAAATTCCTAGTTCACTTTCCTTCTTTGCTTGCAGGAAAGACACACATAGAGATCCAATATTGGCCGGAATGCTGACTATAATCACAAAGATGTAAACAATAGGAAACAAATAGTGATCCAGGTCATGCTGTTCTTCAATACATGTGCTGTTCATGTTTTTCTTTTTAAGGTAGCAATTATATTAGTTCTTAGAAGGTAAACAGAAAAGTAGTCTTGTCTCGTTGTAGTTTGTTTTGAACATCAAATTCTCTTTTACTGTTTTTTTTTTTTCAATTTTTCTTTGTTGTTTAAAGTTCTAATTAATTCATCAATGCTTTTAAAGGGGGGATGTAGATCAATTTCTACACAAGTACCAGCAGTCAGAAGTCAAAATCCAGGCTCCTGACAGTTGGCTAAAGGGATCAACTGAATTTACTGAACAGAAGTCCATGCGTTCATTATCACAGAACACTGGCAAAACCCACAAGGATCAACTGGGGTATTTGTAAGTGTGAATGGTGAGTTGTCTGCAATTTGTTTTTCTTCATAAATCTCAGTTGATTGGTAGAAACATGAACATATAAGGCTTTGTTTTCACGGAGATTGGTATTTCCTTCTAAAATTCCTTTCTTTCTGTAATGAAAGATGAATTAAAATAGTTTAGATGTTTAAGATACATAACTTCATTACAATAATGATTTTGAAACAATCCCTTTTTGTTTTATTTATGGAGATATTGAAATTGCATTAAGTTACAGAGAAGGTGTTTAAAATGGGAAAACTGTCTGATTGACTTCAGTAAATAAAATCAAGCCAAGATATTTTACTTATTTCAAATAAGAATTACCTGAGGTATTTTATTTCTCAATAGACATGACCTAAGAACATAAACAAATTTCTTAGGAAGGCATATATGTTCCAGTGAATTTTATTTCTCAGTGGACATGACCTAAGAAGATAAAACTCAAGTTAGAAAGCCATTTTAGCAGCTAAAGATTTCTGTTATTTGTCTGTAATTGGTAAATACTTTTCAGTGTGTGATCAACTGTATGGTTATATGATTTCAAATTTCTAATTTCATATGCAATCTAGGTATATGGCACTTTCAAAAATCACCTTATTATTCAAAGAAATAGTATAATAGAAATACATCAAAGTTGTAGAATTTTAAAATGTAGCAGTTTGTTAAACCTTAGCATATAATTAGACAACCCTACCTCTGTTAATCTTTTTGTTTCCTTTGTAGGCTAATACACTTTATCTTTCTTATAATTTTATAAATGAGAGGACAGAATGTTCTCAATTCTGGGTAAAATCTTAGAATCATTAATTTCCACCTTTATACCTGATAGTTTATGAGGCATCTTTTTAAAGCTATGATGTCATAGATTGACATAAGAGTAAAGGTTCCATCCTTCTCTCCATACTGGAGTAGAGAAATACTTTGTCTATATCCCCTTGCTAGTGAGTTCTACTGGTGGTTTAGATGATTTACCTGGTGAATACCTTCACAGAAAGCTTTGTAGAAACACTATTCAGGGTACCAGAATCACTCCCTTCCAACTTTTTGAGTCCTGAGCACAAAAAGACCTGCCAGCACAAGTCACAAGAATTCTGCTAGAAGAGTAAACCATATGGGAGAATATATTTCTCTTAAACCTAAAAAATAGGTTGATAAAGATAGGTTGACATAGAAAGATGTGAAAAACAGCCTTTTAAATAAATAGGGAGACTTCCAAAGGGGGAAAAAAATTTGTGATGGAGCAAAGGAGGTGGGAGCTGCTATCAGGGAGGTGAGTGAGCACTGAAGCTCTGGATGGCCTGAAGACATATGTAGATCTGGAGGAACTAACTAGGAATCAGAGAAACTAGAGACAAAGCTTGGGCCTATGCAGGTTGGAAGGGGTCCTTGACCATCCCAAACACATGGGATCCAGGAACATCTGCTGTCAGGGAAAGGGTGAGCTAGAAAATAAACAAAATAAAATAACAAACTCCACAGACATTTGCAGACAGGAGAGAAAAGATGGCAATTTCCCTGCTTCTGCTTGGTTTCTATGAGGAGTTATAATAAAAAATTCTACCCTAAGTACTTGTGGCCTCTGGGATCCTCACTTTGCAAGTGGGTCTGGGCCTACATTGTTAGTTTGATCCTGCAAACTTCAGGCCAACCTACATGCTCAACTTCATTAGTCATCAGAGGAATTCAAACTAAGATTAAAACGATATGCCACTACACACCCAACAGAATAAATAAAATGAAAATAAGACAACATATCAAGTGCTAGTGAGGAAATAGAACACCTCGACTCATACGCTGTTATTTAACAAACTATTTGGCACTTATGCGTACCATATGATCCAGCAATTCCACCTCTAGGTATCTGTTCAACATAAATGCATACATAAATTAACCAAAAGACAGGTACTAGAATTAGAATGTTCACAGTAGCGCTATTGGTAATATCCCCTAACTAGAATGTCCATTAGCAGTATAATAGATGAGTAAACTGGGATATAGTAACACCATTGAAATCTACACCTCAATGAAAATAAATAAATTATTGCTACACACAATCACATAGTTGTAGATCACAAATATAATGCTGAGTGATAGATAAATGCAAAAAAAAGTATGTATTATCTGATACAAATCAGGCAAAGTTAATCTATGCTGTTAGGAGTCTGAGCAGTGGTCACCTTTGGGGAAAGTCTGGGTGCTGCTGGAACAGGGCATGAGGAAGACTTCTGAAATTTAGTAACGTTCTATTTCTTCATAGGGGTGACTGCTTTAATGAGCATGCTCAATTTGTAGAAATGTATCAAGCTGTACACTTAGGATATGTGCATTTTGCTGCATGTGTATTGTATTGCAATGAAAGCATTAAAGAGTGGAATCAAAAGGCTGTGTGAGATGGCACATAGAGCATCTTGACAAACGTGTTTTACCTGAAGATGGAACATATATGCCTTCCTAAGAAATTTGATTTTATTTCTATCCTCATACATACAATGTAATTGAAAGAAAGAAAATAATAAATAAATAATTTACATAGTTACGAAAATATATTCACCAAAAATATAGGTTGACTATATATGAAAAAATAAGTTCTAGGATCCTGGAAGAAGTAGACACAGATTCTCCCTTGAGCAAGGTCTCTTAACTGAGGCCTCAAAGAATCCTACAGATAGAGTTCTAACAAATATGACCTTATTCACACACACACACACACACACACACACACACACACACAGAAATAAGCCACTATGTCTGAGATTGAGCAGAAACAACAAAGAAGGATACTAGATCTGCAAAACCTTTAGAGATAAAATTAATATGCATATAACACAAAACAGATATGTTTATATGTTGAAAGAAACAAAAGAAGGGATTTAAACACATGAGTAGGGAGGAAGAGATTATTTAAAAAATGACAAGTCATATTTTTTAGAAAGATTGAAAAAATTTCTAAAATTAAAAAACATAATAATCTAAATTTAAAAATCAACACAGGGACTAACCAACTAATTAGATCAGGCTGAAGAGAAAATTAGTATATTGCAAGATAGAGATAAAGAAGTAACACAAAATTATCAGCATGTTAAGGACATGAAAAGATGTTAAAAAGATAGAGAATAAGGTGAAAAGGACAGCATATGCATAATTGGAATTCCATAAAGACTGAGAGAGGATGTTGAAAGGGCAATATTCACACAGATGATGAACTTTCTAGAACTGATGAAGGGATACTGAGGATGGATGAAGAATCCTCATGGATTCATTCCTCATGGATCTTTAATCCTCATAGAATCTTCGGATTTATGAAGCCTAAAAAAATCCCCAATAGGATTAAAAACACACAAAAATGAAAACCTATATTTAGTCACATTGCAAAAATATTGCAGCTTACCAAAGACTAAGAAAAAAAGAGCCAGAGAGGTAAGATGGACAATGACTACCTATAAATGATGGAGTTTAGATGGACAAAAGACTTCTCAACAGCGATAGCAGACAGCAGAAGATTAAAAGTTCCAAACTTCTAAGAAAATATATGTCATCCTATAATTGCGTACTCAACAGAACTAAATTTCAAGGACCAGAGCAAGAATTAGGACATTTTCAGATAAACTACCACTGAGAACATTTCCATCTAAAATTCCCACTAAAGAAACTTTTAAAGGATATAGTTGATGTAGGAAAAGGACACCAGAATAATGTCTGAGATGCAGGAAGGATTGAATCAGCCCCCTGCGGATGGGATTCTGATGCAAACACAACACATCCAACTCTAGGCTCGTGTGTCTTGGGGAGAACACCTGAACCATGAAAAAAATCCTCCCTTAAGACCAGGACCAAGAGAAAATTGGGTAATGGGCAGTGTGTACCTCTTCCTCCTCTGTCCATGTTCCTTCAATAAATATGCATCATTTTCTTTTAAAATGGTATGATAGATTAAATGAAAAAATGATTTTTAGAAAGGTTTATAAAGTTTTCAATGGAATACATTTCTCTAGCTGTAAAAGCACTTCTGCCTTGACTTAACCACAAGACAGGATGGGTTGATGAAGCACGTCTTCTCTGTAGTGACGCAGAGGCAATACAGACTTGTGGTTACCAGCGTGGGCTATGGAGACAATTCGAAAGCCTCTCGATGGGATCTGGGCCCATTGTGTTTCCTTACCTTCTAAGTTCCAGTTTTCACATGTGTAAGTTAGTATCCACTTTGTAAGATTGTTGTGAGGGCTAAATGAAATGACATATGAAGCAAAGTACTAGCACATGAGCGGCATTCACTGTACATGAGCTGGTAATATTGTTTTAATGCCATTGATAGTCTGCAGCCAATCTTGGTGCTATCCCCAAATTTCCTGAAAAGAAATCATCTTTAGCCATCTAGCCAGAGCATATCAGAAAACTAGAGGTGCTCAGAGTATAATTTGTATGGTAACACTTCACATATAATACCAAGTTCTACAGATAATAGTTGTTCATTTAATTTGGATGGTCTGATATTTTAATGGAATACTGTATGTAATTCCTATTATAGTATTCATGTATCTTTTCAGATATTATTTTGGTTCCTTTAATCAAATTTTGAGAAAATTGCTTTTACAACCATCATTGAGAAATTTAGGTGAGTTTTTAATTTTAAAATTTTTACCAAATGTCAAAAAAGATAATCTACAGAACACTAAAGTATGTCTATTCTTGACCAGCTCTAAAAACAGTACAAATCACTGATGAAGATGACCAAAAATAAAATATTTTCCTACAGTGTTATAGAAAATGCTTGCTTTCATTTATCAGTTTAATAGTTACTTATTAAGACTCTACTATATTTCAAGCAC